CCAGCAGTAGATCATCAAAATGTAGAGAGATACGTACACCAATATAGTAGATCATTAAGCTCTACAGAGATAAGCACACATGTTGTAGATCATCAAAATGTCCAGATTGGTATGTTTATACCGGCAGTAGATCATCAAAATTTACAGATACGTACACCAGGCTCTTGGGCCATAAAACTTAGACGAGATTACTTTTGATCTCAGTCTCACTTTTATCAAAGGAATTCATAGTGGAATTAATACTGGCCCCCAGGTCATTAGTAGATCATTAAAGTGTACAGATGTAAGTACACTGAGAGTGCGTCATTAGAACACGAGGTACATGTGCATTTCAACTCACCTAATATGCTCAAACGCTTTAAAAAAGATATTTTTCCCTCAAGTTTATCAGTAGAACGAGCACTTGTTTGTAATATTGGTACCGTGAAATCTCTTCGACCTTCATGTCTCACTGGTTCACGCGATATTTTTTGAAACTATAATAGACAATCACGGTAATGCATGTTCTAATTTTAGTGCGTACAAATTTTTAGAACATCCAGAAAAAGTAGTGAATTTTAAATGGGTTTTCTGTCTTCAAAACATTCATGAATATGATTAAATTATGATTTCAAAGGTACCTGTTTTTTTTCGTACATTTGTTGATTTAGAATAGAGGTACAGATAATTTTTTTTATATACCAAATATTAAAGCTTTGGAAAAATGATATTCAATGAAAGAAACTGAGGGGATAAACCGAGCCATATGCCTACATAACGATCGATAAAAAATCAATAGATTCATTTTATAAAAATTTCACTTTTTGTTGAATTAATGTAATGCTTATTACCATTTGCATACAAATTTGACAAAACCTGAATACTGTAACAGCGAAAATGATTCTGATTAACACAACAAAATGGCATCACGCTCAATTTTCACAGAAACTGACATAAATTGTATGATATAACTACAGTTTTTAAATAGAGTGGGTCATTGTACCATTTTTTTGAGAACGATTAATGAAAGGTAATGGAAAGATGTTGCTTTTTACACTTGCAAAAATTTGGTATGAAGACCCATTCTACATAAAAAATTAAGTTAACTTACTTAAATTTTCACCGTGGTCTTAAAAAATTCTAAGTCCAAAAACGCTTGCTAAATATAGAGAACTGTATGCTATTTAAATAGACATGTAAGTGTGACTCCGTGGTCTAGTGGTTAGCGAGGAGCTCTTTGAAGGGACGTTTATTAAGGAAAGTGTTCGAGTCATACTCTGATTTTTTGATTTTTTTTTTTTTTTTTTACTTTATAAAAAATGTCTATAGGAGTAACATAGTTTTCACTGGAAATAAAATATATACATGTAGTAGTGAACTTATTTAAAGTAAATTATTTAAAATGCCGGATAAAAATTATAATAGATATTTGAATACTTTTATTCCCGTTTTTATTTATTTCAAATAAAAGCGCTTCTAGATCACCATTATCATTATATACGATGTTAACATTTTCATAATATCTCCACAATAAGTGTAAACACTCAATATGCAGATTAATTAATAGAAGTCCTTACCCATGTTAGACATTTGTGACAGTAAATGAAAGTCAACTGTTTAGCTTGTTTAGAATATAAATATCATTTTGAAAACTACGGTAAACATTAAAATGCTTAAGTAAATTCGAACAATTGAGAGATTTTTTCCAATAAATGTTCTTGCATAGCCGAAAAATGGGCATGGGCACATGGCTCGTCTTATCCCCCCAGATTCTTTGTTCGAGAAACAAACATAATAAAACACAATCAGCAAAAAATATTTGTTCATATTGAAAGATAGAAATAAAGAAACTCCATTCAGTCCAGAACTTAAGGTGCAATTTAGTGGGAACACACCATGTAATACAAGAAGATGATTCTTCATAATTTTTGATGTTGCTTCAGTTGAAACGTTACCAAAACGGTAGTTGACACGCCACAAAAGGCAAGTCTAGATCTGTTTATACATGAACATTACCAGCATAATTTTAAATATGTGGAAAACTTGTGAAGTTGTTATGCATCTTGATTATAAAAATATTAAACCAAGAGAACTGTTTATATACATTTCTAAACGCGTTGTTATAATGTATTACGTAACCTAAACAGAACCTTGGTTGATTTAAAAGACTCTCAATATATGCAGGCAAACCTTATCTCCATATCTACGCTTCAAATGCATCTTCTAGGGCCTTACCGGCAGAGCTCGGGAAAACTTTACATCACATACCCGGATGTTAAAATTTTATACAAAATGGAGTCGCTTCCCATTTATTAAAATATAGGGTAGAAAGAGTTGATTGTCCCTTCCGTAGTATATTTTAGGTTATATCGTTAGGTTCAATGACGTTTAACTCCTGACTCTACATCTTCGCTAGCCAAGGGTTTCTGATACGCTACTCTCCTCATAAACCCTTGGCATACGGTGCTGACAAAAGACGGGATTGTTTTTGTCACGTGATCATGATTCCTACCAGGTACGCACAGATTGCGTCATCGACAGAAATAAAAAGCGTATTTAAAAAAAAAATTTGTTTTTAAAGAATAATTAACAAGAAGGTATTGACTTATGTTAATTTGTTATTTAAACATGTGAAAATGCAAATCTACATCTTCAGAATAGATTCTTAATCACATATTTTGCACGTTGCTTTAGAAATTGGATGACACCATATTGCTATTCATAGAATGGCATGTTATCTTACGGATCATTGTTTACTTGCGTTTTACATTACCGATATTAAAGAGTCAAGATATATCCCGAACGCATTTATCGTCATTTACAAAAAAACAATTGCTGATTGGTCGAACGATGTCGATCAACTCCAATCACAACTTGAGAAAAAAATCCCAACTTTTTTTAACACCGTATGCCAAGGGCTTATGAGGAGAGTAGCGTATCAGAAGCCCTTGGCTAGCGAAGATGCTGACTCTAGAGATAAGAGGTCTTCTTACATTTATTTCAACGTTAATGAAAAGGGGTTGTTATGGACGCCTTCGTAACACCTGTCGGGACGATGACCAACTTCGAGCCATATCCTTAGTATTTCACATATCAGGGTTGGTGATATTGAATATTCTATTGTAAATGTAGTATTTTTAAAGAATAGTCACACTGATCTTATCAAAAGATTTCCTTACCCTGTCAAATGCTTTAAAACATGAATTTATGTCATAATTTAGCGGCGCATTAGCATGACGTAGTATACAGCCAGTGCTCTCCCCTTGCACACATTAACATCCTTGTGATGAAGTTATAACTCTATCGATGTTCACGTTAACGGCAAATGGTCACTTACTAATTATTAATACATGTATATGTAATAGACTATTTGCAATGTTTAGGCATCCCTGGTTTGCTTTGACTCATACTTTGAGTGAAAACTATTTCTTGCAAAAAGTAGCATTCATACAGAGGCCCATTAAGGACCAATCAAAAATATCTTTTAATTTGATATAACGAATTGTCAAATTTGTTAAAACGAATGTGATTCGTTATATCATTTGTTTGAAATCGTTATAACTAATATAATCCATAGCAAATTTTTTATAACGAATTAATTTTTTTTATATCGAATTCAAGAATTTTTATATAACGAATTAAATCCTTTAACGAATTCGACAATTCGGTAAACGGAATCCAAATAAGGAAATATCGATAAATAAAATTCGATATATAAAGAATGGTCGAATTCATTCAAACGAATTTTATTCGTTACTACAAGTTTAAACAAATTTTTGAATCGTTGAAACAAATTTGATGCGTTATACTAGTAATTCGTTATAACACATTTAACATTGAACGACATTTTGAAATCTTCATTCAAATATCTATCCAAGGTTTATAGTAGCAAAACTAAATGAATAAATAAATAAAACAAAAGAAAAATAAATAAATCAGAAGGAATGGTTGTATATTCCATTTCTTCAATGCTGAATTCATTGTATTTTCAGTTAATGGTTTAAAATGGCATCATTTAACTACTTTTTGCGAAAATTGAAATCCTCAAATTGTTCAAAACAAAATTCGCTCCTTAGTAGTAGATAAGCTGATAAAAAAAATAATTACACAGTTTTAGTAAAATTTCTTATGACATACCTTATAAATTTTTGATTGATTGCACGTGCACAATGCGATAAAAATAACCTGATTTACACACCTCCTTAAACGTTATAGAATAAATTTTGGATTATATGTTTGAAGTTTAAGTAAAGCACTGAATCTCATAAAATATGGTAAAATGCCCCCTTTCCTGTATCGTTAATTATTACATTATTTGCATATAACATGCATAGTGGTTACCCATCGTTAACCTTTAATAAAAATTTAAAAGACACACGGTTCTTTTTAAGGAATATGAAAATATATGTACATATTTAATAAAAAATTATCAGCGGTAATGAGTACAGGTGTTTCTTTTTTTTTTTTTAATTCAGGCCAGGTTCTAGGAGTGTACATTGATGGTAACTTCATAAAACAGTATATATGAACTATATTCAAGAAGAAAGAATTCGATCCCCAACTCCCAAAGAGAAATCTTTTTTGAATTGCTTTACATTATATAATTTGAAATAATTGTTAGTGTTTTTCATCGAGGTCAGTTCTTTGGTGAAATAAACAGTATAATCCTTTTTCATTTTGTTTGACAAACCCATTGTTTATAGAAAAACTACAAGCATATCTACTAATTGGCATTTAAGATTTGAATATGTTGTATAAGTGCATGTGTATATGCAAAGTAATGTTGTTTCATTGCTTTTGGCGTCACATTGACTGCTGAGAAAACACTGGGCATCTTGGCACAATACATATTCTCAATTTGATTGACCCATTGCTTTTGGCACAAAAATCTTTGTGGTATCTCGGTTCATTCGTCTGCAAAGAATAAATCGGAAGAAGAATTGTTTTATCTTTGTTTGATAGATATCCTAAGTAATCCGTAAAACAGCGTCCACAACGGGAAAAATAAAATAAACATAAAATGAAAAGGAAAACTTATATTCAATTAATAAATAATATTTAATTAAACAATTGAAACAAAAACATAAAAGATGAGGAAATGTTAAATGTTAAGATGGAATTGATAAGGTTGTCATAAATACAATGTTACATTTAATGTAATGATCACATATAGGTTTAAAATGGCGAAAATGAATCACATGCCTTCACTGTTGGATCATGAAAATGTGATTATATTTAATATTTGTCAATAAATGTGGAATGTTGAGACATGAAATATATATATAACTTAGACAGATTTTACTAAAACCGCCTTAAAGCATTATTGGCCGTTACATACATATTTGAAGTTTTCAGCGCTTTCAAAGTGTAGAATGTACCTGTAATGGCCAAACTTCAATTCAATGAGCTGCAAAACAATATTGTACAATGTCTGGGAAATGCATGTAAATGTTTTCCAGTTCGAACATTTGTCCACTTAAAGCTTTCTTAAAGTAAAAGCCACCTGGAGATGTCGATAGAAGACTATTGACTTCCCAACATTGTCTGGCATTTGTCGCATCTGGAATTTTACCCAGCGGTAACAAATCAAGCGTTCCGTCGTTCTGCCCACTAGGTGCCCGATTACCAAGCGTCTAAAATCGATCGCCATTGTACAAAACGTGCAATGTATCTTCTGAACTCGACCGTTCATCGCAGAAATTAACGCAAATATCATCATTGGGTGATGTAAGGCACAAGTCCCGATATGTAAATATCAATAGGTTCTCTATCAGAAGAGCTTCTTCGTCACCTATTGACAACTAGAACTAACGTCACCAAGAACATCGTGACATACAGCAGACGACACCGAGAACTAGAGTTTTCTAGTGTTTGATGATCGTGTTTCGAAGCTATTCCTAGAAGTGATAAAAATATCAGTTCATGAGAAAAATTACAAATGGTAGAACAATATTTAATTATAAGGAAAAACTGTAAAATTTTTCCACAACATAAAATACAAACCATTATCATCTTCTCTTTTATAAATATCTCTGCCGGCTGTCACACCAAAAAAGGAGAGAAAAAATAAATTATTAAATTTTATTAAACATTTAAAAGTTAATAAGATGAAAATTAATTAGAAATTTCTTAAAACAAGCAAAAACAAAATAACTGTAAGTCAGCATGCCCTGAACTTGCCCACACTTACCATTGAGAACATGTACGTTTATGCTCTTTGTGTCCTTGTCAGAACTCCTACAGATATAGGTGCCGGCATCCTCCTCTCTCGCGCGTTCTACCGTTAGGTTACTGACCAGAGAACGTCCAGGGACCTCTTGGTATTTATAAATGAGGGTTCGGTGGCGCCAGTGGGGGTCGTTTTGACGTATTTTTTGTCCTTTATGGAACCAATCTATGTCTTCTGGTGCCCTAACTGCGCCCGTGGCGTTGCAGGTGAGGCTAATTTTGGAGAACTTGCTTACATACACGGTGCCATTTATCGTTAGAGCTTAAATTAAAAAAGTATTTTTTCAAAAAAGCGTTTGACAAAGTATTAAATTTAACGGATCCATTTAATGTAAGAGATTCGATCAAAAAGCGTTTAACAAACTATTAAAATTCCTTCTGTCCTCTTTGAAAGATATCATTTGATAACCTTTAATTAAAATAAAAGTAAAATGTAAACTTCTATTTATTCTTATTAGTTCTTACCAGGTTCATATGCTGGTTGAGTATCTACAAAATAAAACATTGACAGATTGATATGAAGACCAACGCCCAAATCATTGGCGTAAAAACCACGGAGGTCATTAATTAATGAATTACATTAATCCATAATGAGAATTAATTAAGTCTCCCTTGTTCTTGCAAAATGATATTATTTCGGTGTGAGGACTAAAAGATGATTGATTTCATATTAATTCTTTAGACTGACAGGTTTATTGTGACCAGCAATAAATTAATAAACCAATTACAAAACACCAAGAATTTAAATCAAAGAAAAGTGTAATAGATTTCGTGCACAAGAACTCACATTGTACACATTTGTTCCAATCAATATTCAAGATGAAGAGAATATTTTAAATATTTCAGCTACACAGAAATCAAAGAGCCTGAACGAATGTTAATCTGTACTTAAAATATTTTTAGATCTTTAATAAAATATGCCATTCCGCATACAATTAAAAGTGCAGCTCACTAGGCGAACTTAAATTATAGCAAATGCGCATTTTAAAAATTTGATGTTTGGAATGTGACATGTTATATATTTCAAAAATCTAGGATTAAAAATGGCAAGGGCATAAAGAATGTGAAATTGATTGCTTAATACAGATATTAACCATTTTAACCACTTATAAAAACTACATATTTGCTTACATTAAAACAAAATGTTATGCAGTACAATTACACGGATGTGGCAAAATGACATTTTAGAAAACTGTAATGCAAAATCTATTGACTGTTAGACTGAACATTTTCTAGGTCACAAAAATCATTGTTTTAAATGCCATACCCCAAAGGACGGGTTGTACTTAACGTTAAAACTGATATGCTATAATATTTTGGTTAATAAGGTCTAACATGTTCTATATATACAATCAAACTACTGTCTGGTCTGATGTTATCAAGGCTTACTCTGCGCCTGTCGATACTTCCATTACTTTGATTTTAAATTATCAGAGGTCGGCAGGACAGTGAGTACAAATAATGGTTGATTATTTGATTACTAGATAATTTTAGTACTTATTTATGGTCTACATGGGTGACTTACGCATTTGGTATACCATTTATCCATAAGTAATGAAGGAATAAACTTACCCAGAACATTTAGCTGCACAATAAAATTATAGCCCTTTTTGGAGCTTATTTGGCATTCATATAAACCACTGTGACTGGGCTGGGTGTGTTTGATTATCAAGTCAGTCTGGATTCTGTCGTATTTAGGAAATTTGAAAACATCCACACTCATTTCCTCAATATCCGCGTACATTCTGTCCCCTATCGACAAAACGTAACTGTCCGACTTTTTTCTCCAAACAACCTAGAAATATTATTTAAAATTAATCTTTGATATAAATAGAAACTATTCAAACATCAAAGGACAGTTTGTATGATAACATGGCATTTAATCATAAGAAACGTGTTTCTAAATATCACAATGTTTTATAATGAGAATACTACAAAGAGATATGGATTAACCGCAGGTTGTTGATCTAATCTGAATAGATATGTTCAATTCAGCTCATTCTAGAATTTCTTTTCGAATGCCATCTTAATAAATTCTGCATCGTGTTTTTTTTTCTGTGTGTATGAATTTAACTTGTACAATTTAGACAGTCATGAGACAGTGTTCCAACATGGTGCCGAATATGCAATAATAGCCCGAATAGCGAGGCCCAGTCCTGCACTACAACCAAAAAAGCAAAAAACAAAACTCAGATGGTCTCATTGTTCATTACTAGGACGGCTAATGTGATTGTTGCATTGATCATCATTAATTCAAATAATTCTTCTTTTTTTTTTAATATTAGAATCAAATCTTCATGCATACTATTATGGATATGCCTAAATCTATTTAATATATAATTTTTTTTTTTAAAAAGTGATAAATATGTCAAAACTCATATTTTTATATCATCCAAGTTCGTGAGATTGATCGTCATTAAATACCAGTGTTAATAGAGCTTATATTGATAATCATTTATATCTCACCAGGTCGAATGATTTCAATTGATTTCAATTGAACATTGACAAGCTGTCACTCTTGGGTCTTTAATCACTATGTCAAGAAATACTGAAATAACTTGACATCAAATGGAATATTTAAACTTTTTTCAGTGTTCTGAAATTAGCAGTGAACGTCTTACGAAACTAATTTTTCCTTATTTACATCAACCGCGACCAATGTGCAGCTCAATAAACAATGGTTCAATATTACAGCGAAACCCTCTTAACTTTACAAAGAACATATATACATCGCGATAAGCTGCAAAAAAAAAAAAAAAAAAAAAAAAAAAAAAAAAAAGATTAAGTCGGATATGATAAAGCAATTTTGCTTGCAATAAGTGAAAATTCTCTTGATCCGTGTTTTACCATTTAATATTAAATATTTGATTTTTTTTCTCAAAATATTAACTGAAGATAACTGAGCGATACACAAGGCCTCTTTCAGTCCTCTATTGTTTGTAAATAGGAAAATAAGCGAAAGTTCGCCATTTTTCTGCAGCAACCCTTATACATATATTATATATCACTGCAACGAGATGTCATTCAACCATATAGTGGTTGTATAAATTTAGTTAATCGTGATTCTATTTCTCCCCTTAATTGTATAAGAGGTCAGATGAGAACACTAATTCTGCAATAAATCTGCATGCTAAATCATCACCTTCTGTTTCAAGTCTCTGGACCGTATACATAATGAACTGACCGTGATCTGATAATTATAATAACAAACAAAAGTAACATACTCATATCTACATGAAAAACAACTAGATTTTTCAAAGGAATGAAAAATGAATAAAGTAGACACGTCTTGTAGAGTTTTTACACACAATGTATTTTACTTAAATTGAAGCGTTCGATAAAGCAGATGATGGATTCCTTAAAATTTATTTGGGACTATTATCTAAGAAGCTTGCCCCCCGTCTTCCAGTAGAGTAGGTTTTATAAAGACCGATTACTAAATGTACAATTTGTAAATATATATGAATTCCAATCAACTTTTAAACTCCATTTCTCATTAAAATTGTGCCTTCTCTCTGCAAGTTTGCTTGCATCCTGATCGATTTCCTTACAGAACACTTTATGTACATAAATAAATACCGGTAGTTACCAATATTTCTCGACAGTATTCCTCAAAGATTTCTTTCTGATCTACATTCTACAAAGCTATTTATTATTTCATGAATATACATAGCAGGTGTCCTAGATCTCAACAGTACTTGCATGTATATAAGTAGTACATAAATTAAACTTGAATTTCACACAAACCGTTTTGGGTCCCAAATTTTCCACAGTACACTTTAGGACTGCTGTTTGGCCTCTGTGTATGGTAATATTGTTGGGTTCCTTGACAAAGTTTGGTTCTATATACTTTTTGTATCGATTCCTTCCTGAAACTAAGAACAAAGCGCACATTTAACTATCAGATCGTGATGGCAATAACAATACATTGTCAAGTAAAACCAATATGTATTACTATTTTTTGTCTTTATCTTCAAGTAAATGGAAACAAGAAATAATCGACTAGCGAATAGTTAGAACAATCTATACCACGTAATGTTCATGTATAAATCATAAGATAGAGTCTTGTTAATGAACTTAATCCCCATTACAGACCCATTCCAACAACTTTTCTTCCTCGCGTATTGCGACGTTTTGTTTGAATATTATCAATCAGAATTGCTTTTTTATTCTTAATTTATGCCTTATTTACTTCAAGAAGTGATAAAGTGGTACAGTTAAGGAATATTCTGTGAAGCTGCAATAATCCAGGACGCGACTGATTTGTTTAAAATATTCAAGCAAGTATTAGCGCTTTTTTTTTTTAAAAAATCTAAAATAAAAGACTAACAAAAATATTTCATCTCACAGAATGTTAATCCATATATGAATTTATAATTTTACTGTTATTCATATAAGTAGGCCTTTGCTAAGATATGTTCAAAGACATTGTCTTAGATTGAATTTCCTAAACCAGACATTGGATTTGAAATTTTGCTGATGATTTATGAATAGATGATTTAACTACATCAGTTATATTTTAGATGGTTTGACTGACCAAGAAATTTATATATTAGTTTAGGTTGTTTGGTAGTTGAGTTGGTTTTACTTATTCATATCTTTTACAAGTGGTTTGACTAACTCAGTAATTTTAGTAAGAGTTTTTGCTTACCTAGTTAACTTTTTACGTGATTTATTTAACCCAATAGCCTTTTTATAACTAGTTGAACAAATTCAGCGACTTACATGTATTATAGATGGTTTCACTAACACAGTAACCTTTTTGCTTAGTTTGACTAACCCAGAAACCTTCATAGGAGGTTTGACTAACCCAGTAACCTTTTCTATTTGGTCGTACATTCCCAGAATGTTTTAGGTGGTTTGACTGATTTAGTAATTTTTTTGGTTGTTTGTTTTGCCAAGTAACCTTTCAGGTGTTTTCAGATACCAAGTACGCTTGGCAAGAAAAAATTGATTTTCAATGAATTCTATGAATGTGTGACTCTCAAAATTATTTTAACACAGTTAAAAATAATACATATTTCGTAATTTTGGTTACCAGTAAAATTATTTATTGGGAAAAACAGAAATTTAAAATCAGACTGCTGAAACAATGCCAAAGTATAAATACAAATCCGGGTAACCTGGGGTCATACTTGAATGTACTTATTATCCTTCTGCACATCGGAGTGGTTAAGTAACACTTTCACTTACTGAATCGAAAATGAAATTTAAACAATTTCCAAAAACTCTTTTAGGGTAAAAAACGATTCTAGATTGAAATGCTTTGTTGCAAATATATTCTGAATGTAAGATTAGTTTTCATTATTTCAATAGTAGTTGCAACAATGCTTGAGACAAATTACACCTGGAAACAGCTAAAACATCACAATAAACAAGAAAAAATGAAAAAAAATTGTTCATAGTTGAAGGATTCGTCTATTGTGTACAGAACAGTGATTCATTCCTTTTTTTATTAACTTTACAGTTAATTTCCTGAAAATCAGCAGTGGAGCATGAAATCAACCTGTATGGATTCTTAATTTTCTAGGTCTTCTTTAATGCTCCACATTGACAGCAATGATGGCCTTCATTTTTTTCCGCGTAATGCAAAAGCAACTAATACAAGGTTACACTTCCATGCAGTCGTGGACATAAGTCACTTATGAGACATTTATCGCAGTAGTGCTCTAATAAATGAAAGAAAGTTCACATGAATTAAGAGGATATTGGTTAACTCAAAACACTGTAGGTTGTGGACCACACGTACTCATTAATTGAATATTGTCTCACTAATGAGTTGATATACCGTCCATTAGTATAGTACTAACAGACAAACAAGAAACATGACCGACACTTAACCCTGTTTTAGCTATTGGATACTGACTGCCAAATAGTTTATCTCGCTGTATGCTTCAACGATAATTAGCTCATTACACTTTTTTGACGATACCCAAGCAATATATGTCAAAGTTGATCTGGGATGACAGTGAGTCGATGTTTTTTATTTGAATTTTCATGATCACCAAGATCCATTCAAAGCAAAACAGCCTATTAAAAAAATTCTTTTAATGGTACATTATCTGACAAAACTGCCCCTGTCATGGTTCCCTATGGACGTTTTCTTGCGAGTAGTGAGTGTCAGTCCTTCAAATGTATACGAACCACTCTAATTGGGAACAAACAGTAAGATAAAAGATATTTAAAATTGTTTGATAGATATGTTTTGAATGTCATTTTACAGTTGTTACCAAAATCTCGGCTTTTTCACCCTTTAATGCAAGGCTTGGCTGTTCTGGTTTTTTTTTTCGTTAATACAACAGGCTCGTTGAAGATGTTTACATAGTTAACTCCAGACTGCATATAAATATCGTGTCATAATTAATAGCATCACAATGACCACACAATGCTTGCAATGTACACACATGGAGCGCAGACGTGACAGAATGTTTTTATTGAAAGCAATTTAGACCATTTCTGTGTATTTGCTGCGGTTCAGGGAAACAAGGGGATTGAGCAATACTTTCGGATGACTTATATTATGGATTATAATATGGATATTTCTAGCCGTAACAAAAAGATGAAACAAATATTTATTCATTAATTGAACATATATTGGAGAATACATGGGCAGTAGAATGTTACAAAGTAGTTTAATCCTGTGTGTTTCTTACTTACGTTTTTTCCTTATGGTTTAAATAATAGTTTGAAGAAATCAAGAATCTCTCTAAATTTTGATATTAACATGATAAATGTTCCTTTTTGCATCGTACCGTTTCATAAGTGTTTATAAATCTGACAAAATGCATGCAGTTATGCATACAAGTTACATAATTAGAGTGGTCACATTCTTAGCACTTGACAAAGATTCGTTAATTTTACATATTCTGGAGTATATGGTTTGTATTGTATATATGTGGTTAAACCTTATATTTGACTGTCTCTAGAAAATTCTCATGCATTTCGACATTTTTATATATTCAGATATCATGTCTTTCGTAAACATGTTAGTAAACTGAAATATCACAAATGCTCATCACAAAAAATATTCCTTTCATACAAATGAAACCTACTGAACAACCACGTTTTGTGTGTGTGTGTCCAATAAAATCTGTTTAAATCCAATGAAATTTGTTTTTAATTCTACTGATATGAAAATCATTTGTTTTATACGAAAATTTTATTTTTTTTAAACCGATGCTTTCTGCGCATGCTCATGAATTGTTTGATTCTACATAGCTGGAGTTCGTGACGTCGGCAAGTTTTTGCTCTACCCTGAATTGGAGGAGACGGTGTGGAACCAGACTTCAGACGCCGATAATTAGCATTTTCATTAGCTTAATTTTTCCTTTTTCATGAGATCTGAAGTTTTCAATTTTGCAATTATAAGAATCACCTAAAAAAGAATTTTAAAAATATAATTACGTTTTTCAAGTATTATTTTTTTTATTTCTTTTTCGAAATCAATATACATACAAAAGAAACAAACACACATCGAATGCAAACTATAAAATTCTTTAGTCACCAGAATGTCAAAGCGAACAGGTTATAATTATTTGGTCTCAGATAAAAGTTTCTCATATTACAATGAAATTCCATTTATTCATTTACAAATTAAGATAGACTACACGGTTGCATAAAGTCAGGAGCTAAATGATATCAATATTTCATACAAGGAGTCCTATTTGTCAGAATTCCGTGATTAGAAATTTGACCATAGCCGAACAAAAATTTATGGGGTGAATAATGGCAATTAAAATAAGAACAAAAGCCCAGTACTCAAAGGGGGCCGTGGAAAAGACAGATCTATAGAAGTTAATCCAACACCCATGCTACAACCAACAATAGCATGATCCATCATATATTCCCTAGTCAGATTACGGATATAATACAGCTTTCATTCACGGAAAGAATCCCAATAAGACCTCCCAATGATTCATTTTTCGTGTATCTTAAAGCAAATAATTAATTGATGACTGCAAAGCACTTTGCGGGATTTGTCATTACCGAATATTCTACCAGACAGAGCAGTCAAGTGTTAGGTCCTAATGCTGGGTAATTCCGTCACTTAACTTTATTGTTACGCTCTAAATCGAGAAATGCTTTTAAAAAGCACCGATTTTGACGTTATTTTGTAAATTATTTCAAAACATTTCACAAATATAATATTCATTTTTGGCGACCATGTACGCCTCACAGAATAGTATGGCTGAAAATTATTCTTTTACGATATTGAAAATGATTCCTAAATGTATGTGTCTGCTATTAAGCACAATTTTTATACTGAATTTTCAATTGTTTTGATTGTCAGAGGAGACCAGGAGACGAGCAGCAAAGTCTAAAAAAAATTGAATCGTTTGGGTAACTTTGGAAATGCTCAAAATTTGGTTAGTGTGCATGTAAGTACTCTAAATATGGACCATTCAGCGTATTTGACGCAACACACTTCTTCAGATGATTTAGTGTCGTAGCATATTTATATATACTTTGATTTTACAGAGGAAGTTGAAAAATAATCAAATTAACTAAGGGATTATCAAATATATGAAAGTTTTTTTTTTAAATTTCAAATCTGATAAGGCCAAATAAAAAAAATATGTGTGGTTCCGGTTACCCGACCTTCCCTATTTTATACCCCCGACCCTAAACTTTTTTTTGGCAATTTTCATATTTTTCCCGGAATTTTCCCCGATTTCCATCAATGGCTCTAGCTTAAGTTTTAGTTTCAGCAATGGTGGCCTCCTTGCAAAACATAGTTTAATAGTGTTAAATCCAAAGCAAACTAGCATGTAGGTGTCCCCTACCAATATTGACTAGTATATTATCACACCACATCTAAATGCCATTTGCCAAGCAGTGATAGGTATTATTTCTAAAGAAAAAATTAAGAAAAATCATTTTGTAAAAAAAAAAAAAAAAAAAAAAAAAAATTGATTTCCCTACCTACCTACCCTAATTTTTGTTGAAGTGTAACCGGAACCACACATATTTTTTTGTTTGGCCTAATGAATATTTATATAATATTTTACACGATTTTAAAGATGGAAAAGTCGATTAAATTATTTTTTCTAAGCTATTTTGGGAATAATTTAAAAAATAACATATTATATTATTATGAAAAAACGAACATTCCAAAATATCATTTACATGAACTCTTTGTACATGGAACAGAATTGTTATTCTTTAGAAAAGTACAGAAAAAAGAAGATAATCCAGCTTTAAAAGAAAATTTGTTCGAAGAAAAAATCCTTCCGGGAAGAACATCCAAAGATAAGTAGTATTTATCTCTTTACTTACCTAGTAAATTATGTGTATTGTTGTTTGTTGTATTTAATAGCATTACCCAATGGTATATAGAATTCTTCAAAGCAACGTACACGTAAGTAAAATACATTTATGTTAAAAATGAATTCATACTTTTTCACTTAAAACACTTTCTTACAATACAGGATTTATTTAAATTCCCACAAAATCAAACGTTAAAATGTAATGCACCTAATCACATAAAATGTGAAGGAAAAATAAATAATTACATTTGCCAATTTTGCATTCACCTCCTCACACAAAGCAATGATGTCAGCATTATACATTGTGCGTCATTAACCGTCAGGAAGACACAGAAGTTTACAAAGAGGTATACATTTATATTTTGGAAAACATTCCTTCAAAATCTTTGTTTTATTGATTTGTTGTCCTAAAGCTTAAAGCATAATAAGGTAAACCTCTTTGGAAAATGTCACCTATTTGTTCAAGGTTTATTTTTACCTACGTGGGGGAAAAAGTTAAAATTTTAATACATAATACATTATACTGTTATCTGAATGAATAGACTGCTCGTTCAATTGATTCCTTCTTCAGAAGAAAATGAAAAAAAAAATCTTATATCAAAGGACAATTTATAATTTTATTATTCACTAACTTTAATCCATTTTAAAAACGTGTTACAACAACATAATCTGGAGTTATTTTTGCAACAGGGTGTTCATAATTACGCATTAAAATATATATAAAGTTAAGACATAAAAAGGATTGCGGATTAACAGGTGAACGAACTCTACAAATATCAAAACTTAAATTAACAGTCTTTTACGTACCACATAATGCTAAAGAATGCAAAAAATTCCACGAAGTTGTAATAAAAATTAAAATTATATCGTAAACGACCACCCTGATACGCCCAAATACTTAACTATTGGAAGATGTTATATCTTAAAGGGCCAAAACACAGTTTAACTTTGTGAAAGCAACCATAGTTCTCTTAAAGAACTTTTATGATTGAGATCAAAACAAAACAGGAACCAATATGTGGAATGATTCAAACATATCAAAATAGACAAAAGTCTTTGTATATTGTATTAGATAGCATGTTTGCAATGCCATGATACCAGTCCACCTCATGTATAGGAGTCCATTCGGCCATCTTTCTGATACTTTCTCTGATACTTTATAAGCCGTTTTATATACACATAGCTCAATCTAACCAAAATATTTATGTATGACTTAAACCTTTAAAACATGTAGACATGAATATGGCAATTATGTTTTGAAGAGTTACAGTGTAATTTTAATCTATTGCTTTTATAAATATTTTTCTTTGAAACTCAATGAATTGTGATCGTAGCCAGAAGGTTACATTTACATAATGCATGAATATGCAATGGGACAAATGTTTGATACAGTATACAGAATTTCAATAAAAAAAAATTCTTAAACTAGACAAAAGTTTGTTTTATCATGTATGTTTTATTACCAGAAAAAATTTACAAGCATTTATCTTTCACTGAATGAGAAACCCAAGAAGCATGACCTAATATATTCATTCAAGTAAAAAAGAATCTGCTTCAAAAAATCTTCATTTTCATATATACAAAGGCGATTTTCAAATCCTATTGCAACAGACTTTAATAAAGTAGCATCAATTTTGATATCAGATTTTAAATTTGAAACAAAATTTAGTTCAAATATATTATCTACTTACCTCCTAAACAGAGAACAAGAATTAGTATCCACTTAAATTCCACGAATAATACTTTTATTCTATCCATCTTTATTTACAGCTTCTCTTCCACCATCGGAGAGGAACGCCATTAAAACAATAGTGCATCCGTCACATTTTACGATAAAACTTTCTGCGACCACTTCTTATAGTCCAATTTATAATTATGTAAATCACATTTCCATTAAAAGGGAAAAAAGGATCACAAAGCAAGTAATGAAATTATTAAATTCCACAGTTTAACAACACGATCAGCTCAACTCGGTTGATTTCTTCACTCTAAAAGGAAAAACAGAATATAATGTAATGTCAAACATAACGATTAATTATTCCAACTCAGGCAACAACTGTATGTGCTATGAGCAGTACGAACCCAACAGCATGTAGAGGCCTTGCATTGACTATCGCATTTCATACATATCAAAAGAATTTTAAAATATATATATATATATATTTTTGTAGATCTCTACATAGAATAGAAATGAAAATCCCTTTTTTCTGTGTTATATGTTCCCAGACGTACCTACAATACACCTATCCATGTAAAACCACAACATGCTACAATTACTGCATTAACATATATCCTTCATGAAACATGTTGAACAGCTTCTTCTCTTTAAATGTTATTCGTATTGTAGACAATTTGCATAATTAAAGTACATCCATTCGCATTACCCAATGTATTTTTTCTTAATTATCTTGAAGTCTTATTTCAATAACGAAGTCGTCTTGATTAATTGAGTCTTCAGAAATATTAAAGGAGCATAAATTGATTACCTACTTACCTGTAAAATTAATAATTTGGAGCCATATATTTATCAAACATGTCTTCAAATACCGTATTAGTCACAATGAATGTTTATCATAATGAATACCAAATGCATTTTACTTAAGGTTGTGAAAAATACCATGAGAGTCATTACATTTGACAGAAAGTTTGATATATTGGGAGCAAATTTCTTTCCCGGTCAGTTTAAAAATAAGATTGTTCATTAAACTGTGAAATTAATGACAGTTTTCACCTGAAAACAGACGTACTCTTCTGGTTCTATTCTGTATGGAAATGAGCATGCCAGAAAGAAAGAATGAATGATGTCTGCAAGAAGACAGGTGCGAACACAAATTTTCTGTCCATAAAATCCATTTTGCTTTATAATGTCCTTGCGTTTAAATTTTTATTTCAACAAAAGGTACACTTGATTTGGTTAGTCTCAATGTTTGTCTGTTCCATGTCCTTGCGAGAAACGAGAATTATTTTACTCATTTTGGGACGCCACCAACTATACTGGTGGAAGGCTGCAGATTTAGACGTGTAATCGGCATTTATTGCCATTAAGTAGTGAGGAGTCTTTTTTTAGTTAATCTAGCATCTAGGTCACGGGACCTACGGTTTTTATGGTCTCATCCGAAGGACCAGTATCCACATACCGCGGTGGGATTCAAACCCGAAACGTAAGAATCGGCTCCTTACTCCGAAACTCTAGGAAGAAGTGACACTTCGATCATTCTTACTCCTTGTTAACACTACGCAAGTGACTTAATAAAAATGATTCTTAGACTTTATACTTTTAATCCCACTAGCGCTATATGAGAGAAATGACCAACTTGAATGTCAGACTTACAATACTATATACATGGATACTAATTTTGTACTTTTGCATTTAATGTATTTGATTTTTTTGTTTGTTTGTATATTTTTTAACGTCCCTCTCGAGAATTTTTCACTCATATGGAGACGCAACCACTTGCCGGTGGAGAGCTGCAAATTTTGTCCTATGCTCGGCACTTACGGCCTCTGAGCAGTGAGGGATCTTTTTCGTGCCAACACCTACTGCGACACGGGACCTCGGTTTATGTGGTCTCATCCGAAGGACCGGTCTCCACGTCCCACAGTGGGATTCGAACCCGCGACGTAAGGATCAATTCCTTACTTTGCGACTCTAGAGCAGGCGCTCTAACCACTGCGCCACGCGGGCTACTGTATTTGAGTGTAACTTTAAAAGTATACTATAGCAAAAGCTACTTACTCATAACAAATTTTATTTCAGAGTGTTCATTTTCATAATGATAAAGTTACATATACTTTCAATAATTCAACCAGAATTTTCTCAGGCACAAAGCAGAGCACTCAACTAAATATCAGCCCTCGGATCTCCAGTCCTCGGGCTGATATAAAAGAGCCCATTAGTATGACGTGATTTCTATACACGTATTTACCCTGATAAATATTAACAATAACAGTTTTTTTTAAATAAAGGTACATTTATCACAAGTTTATCAAGACACCTTTGAAAAGAGGAACAATATGAATCGTCTTCTGCGATTTGTGGAAATCATGGTTCCCAATAACGATGTCAAGCAAACTGTTTACAAGTTCGTTGTAATTTTGTTTAACGCCATGAGCAAGAGAAGAAAAACCCTACCAAATATCGGTAAGGGTAAAAGCTGCATGGGGGTCTTAAAAATTGCCGTCATACTTAATGATATTACGAATATTCTGTGCAATACATACTTCGTTGTCGCATATGTGCAATTTGTTTCCTGAAAATTCAACTGTATATGTATTAATGATGATATCGACTGCAATCCTTTAACAACTCCAAAAACGAATTCTTTCGACAGGCTTATTCATGAACCTCATCTACATTCACTCGCCATGAGGCTCAGGGGAAGCAAGAAACATGAATACATTTTCCATAAATGAGGTGTACTTTTCAATTTCATGCAGTTAGCCTTTAGTCTACAACAGTAATCTTCAAATGAGTAAAGCGAGGATTCTAGCGATGAAGAAGACCCTGCTTTTCCGATTAAAGAATGAATTCGGCCTAGCCTTGAGTATATGCTTCATCCTGCCAAAATCGATCAATGAACGGTATATAACATTGAATAAGACAATTTGAAGCGTTTCCAATTATTCTTTTTGCGGATATGGTGCTTGATATCTAACAAGCATTTCATGATTATAGCCCTGGATTTTAGGTTATAATAGCAAGTGATGTCGGCAAACATAACACTATATTTATTGCTACCATTAAGTTTGACAACAAAATGGGAAATTGCTTCACACTTAGTACAGCAGGGTTTGCACAAATTTACAAATTATAGAAGATAATCCAGGGCTCTCACGCCCTCTTTTGGGACTTGGGCCTGGGCCATGAAAATTGGCAAAATTAGCGAATTTTTTTGAGAAATTTTGGGAAAATCGTTATACATCGAAACTCTTCATATTTTGGATTTCTGGTGCTTATAATGAAGTTGAACTATATTTCTGTTTTGCAGTAGTGGACAGAAACATGAGTAACAAGTTAAGTTTATACTATATTTTGTATTTATAAATTACTAATGTTTTCTTTAATTTTGAGGGATAATGACTTTTGGAAAAAATAACACATTCAGTTGGGGAAACAGGTACCTTTTATTGAATTGGGAATGGGAGCTTTCAACGGCCCCAATTATATATAATCGACATCCTGTAATAAATCAAATTTTATTTTTGATTGGGATGGGATAGGGAGGGCGTTGTAGAGCAAAACAATGTAATATGTACTTTCAAAAAATCATCATAAGTAAAGTTTGGCAACCCTCAAGTTACTTTACATTTATCTTCCCCATCCTGTATATTACTCAAATGGAAAGACATAGGACATTATCCTCTTTATTCGCAGATTACTTTTCCATATATATATATATATATATATATATATATATATATATATATATATATATATATATATATATATATATATATATATATATATATATTAGGGATGTCAATTTTGGCAATGATTCATATTCGAATATTCGATGAAAGTATTCGAATATATTCGAATATTCGATAAAATAAATTAAATCTTTTTATTTTTAAAATGCAACATCCTAGCTACTCTCATGAAAGGATTAGCGTAAGATATTGGAAGTAAAATTGTATGAAGACTTTTGTAGTTGTACAATAAGAAATTTGATATTTGTCAATGTTTGAAATAAATAATTGATTTTCTTAAATTAGATGTAATATAATTATTATATATATATAAGAAATTAGATTTTTTTCAGAAGAAAGGCTATGAAACTTCATATATGTATGAGGTGTGCAAAAAATAAAACAACAATAATTCTTCCTTTACAACTACATTGATCATATATATGTGTTATATATACGTTTTTTTTTTTTTTTTTATACATGTAGGTGATCAGTTTAAATTCTTCCTCCCACAATTTTTACATTTAAATTGTATACAGCCTTTCGATTATCAAAAAAGGGAATTTACAATTAAGTCAAAGTGCGACTATTTTTATTCAATATCTATGTTTAAATTTCAACCTCCACTTCCTTTCTGTACACGTGTTTTACAAAAGTTTAATTCCAAATAAAACACTTAATCGTTTTCCGTAGGTAAACTCTGTAAAGTAATAAAGTGTGGGCGGGCTATTGTACTCTTGTCACCAAAATTTTCATTCATAAAAATGCAAATATTCCATTCATAGTTTTAAGGTCTGTATAACAGGGTTAATTGTGGCAAGAGATTGTGTAGGGGAAGAAGTCTGGTGTTCATTGTCAAAGATAAAAGGTGGGAGCGACAACGTACTATACCCATCAGGGGGCCAAAGAAAATATGTCGGTATGTGAATATAGCGGGTGCAGTTCTTCTTTTATTTTCTCAGTTGATTCCGGAATGCCGAGTATCGAGAGAATGCGACACTTCACATCTTAGTATTAACTGTAGGATGTTATATTGTTGTTTACTAAACAATCGTAATTGCCAAGTGCAACATTATTTTCAAAATTGTTGTTTTGATATCATTTCTCATCTAATCACATCTTTTTCCGTTCAAGTTTTCGGTGGCATTTAAATTTTCTTCCATTCTGTCGTTGACTGATCGGTTATTATGTCATAATGAATAAAATTTGATCCAGAGAAAATGTTAATTTTCAGTTGTTTTTTTTATTTAAATCAATATGAGCTGCAATTTTCTTGTCGGAAATTTTTTTGTAAAATTGTAATTTACTATTTCAGTGACAGAAAAATGAAGGTTTATTAACTTCTGTTATTTATATACATATATTTCAAAAATCTGACGGAAGCAAACTTACATTATTGACGTTCGGTACAAAAATCAATTTCCTATACATAACAGAGACTACTTTACATTCCATATAACAGAAATCTTTTCTTCTGATAAAATTTATCGCCTTGTTAAAGTATTCTTAATTTTTAATCATAAAGGTTTAAGGAACATGCAAAACTTTCATAACAGCGCATTTTACGACAAAATAAATTCTGAAATATACAGTTCATACTGCTTTAACATTTCAAGGTCATTGATTTACTTACTTTCCTTCAACACAAACCTTCATTCGATGTAAGTTTTTGAAAGATATTATATCATTGCCAAATTGGCAAAAGTTTAATTGAAATACTGTTATCATACTGGAATCACAAATTTTAGCTGTAGATCTGTAGCTCACTGGTCTGAAAAATTGGGATGGAGAACCAGAGAGCTACAGATCCTTGTACTTACCAAAGCGTACATTTATTGTACACGACAAATGTGAACGATTCCAGTCATGTCCTCTTATCTTTAAGATGTCATTTCAAACTATTACTACCATCCCTTTGTTCCTAACATTCTTATAATACTTTAATAAAACATTCCCAAAACTGTTTTAAAAGCTCATTTTGGCCTAACATGAGACAATCGAGAAATGCCATCATTTTATGCTGCCATTTTTGCATCCACCATCGTTACGTAAATTCACGTAGAATATGACTTCGACAACGTCGACTTTTTTTTAACGGATTTGATTTAGAAGTAAATATAAGGAGAAGCCAGAAGCTTTGCTATTGCAAGCAATAACAATGTATGTCATCCCAAGATGACACCCCCCCCCCCCACTGCTAAATTATTACTGTGGGGTTTCAGTACGATTGTCCATGCTATCTGCGAGATAGTGCATATTATAGTGCATACCAGAACAATAACAGTATGCCCCCGACTTCGTTCATGGTAACGTCACCAGTTTTACAGCAATAAATGTACACTTTTTTGAATACTTGACACTGTATCCCCCTGGTTGTCATCCAATTTTTTCAAACTAGTGAGCTATAGAACTGCAGATGTATAAATTCTATATACGGTTAATTTCTCCGCCAGCTTTTATCCTTTAAATACAACTTGACCGAATTAAAGCATAGCATTAAAGAAGGAAAAAGGTGAAGATAACGATCCGTGACCGGCCTAAAAAAATCCACAAACAATACTAATCTATGAACAGGGCATAAAACACGGACCCCCGAAATTCCAGAGGTGGGATCATGTGCACAGGAAGGAGTAAGCATGCCCTACCGACCGGTAACACCCGCCGTGAACTCTAAGAATTGATCAGGCAGACGGAATGTTCCATAGTAAAATTGGTATAAAAACAAAGGCCTATCATTTGGTATGAAAAAAAACGTCAGCTAAAATACGACCCAATGAGGTTATATTTGCTTACAAGGTCATTATAGCGACCATAGAATTTACGAAATGCTGACTGTAAACGAGATTGTTGAAATCCCTGTAACATCAACTTATTTGTAAGTAACCTGACTCGAAAAATTTATCGTACTCAGAGCATGCTCTTAAGTAAACCTCATATGCAGGTGATAGCAGAATATTACTACATGAATAAGGAAAGCTGACGATGGAAAAGCTGAAGTCATCTCGTTTGACATATAATTTACATGTAGTTGTTAGTCGGCACTCTTCGTCTATAATTAACCGTTCACGGTAGCTCAATCGGTGATCGGGAGGTCGTGAGTTCGAATCTCGGCCGCGACTGACCTAAGTCGATAAAAAATGGGTAGCAACTGTTCCTTCGCCATATGCTCGGCACTTTGAAAGTTGCGGGTCCTTCGGATGAGACCTTAAAAACCGAGGCCGTGTCACGGCAGGCGTTGGCACGATAAAGATCCCTCACTGCTCAGTGGCCCTGAGTGCCGAGTAAAGGTCAAAATTTGAAGCCCTTCACCGGTATATGGTGACGTCTCTATATGAGTGAAAAATTCTCGAATGGGTCGTTAAAAAATATACAATCAATCAATCAATCGTCTATAATCAGTAAAACATCCAAATATGAAACAGATGTGGCAGACTCCGTGGTGTCTTTTACTTTGAGTTCACTCGGGTATATCGAATCGACATATAAATGGAAATAACTATTGTTAATTGATAAATCGTCGTCAATATATCTGAATGTCGAGTTGAAGGCCAGGTATTGTTCTCTTCTTCGCATGTAGGTTGTCAAAAAAATTCTGCTTCATGATATTAATATAAAAACAGGTCGGCTAATAAAGAAGCACAATTAGGTCCATCGGAATTCCAGCAGTTTCTTCGAAGACCTAGTCTTCAAAGACTGCATAATGTTGCCAATGAGGAACTCCAGCAAAATATCCTGATACGATTTTAAGCGTACAAAGTTATAACATACACTGATTTTCACTTGATTATTTTCTGTTCTTCTACTAGTATATTTTGATTTCCTTACACAAATGCATTCTAAATTTTTTATAGCATTTTTTGTTTTAAAAAATATTCCGTATACGTTGTATTTTAACGAACGTTTCATTGTTTGCAGGACGCAGTGATTTTCAACTGAATTCTTTCTATTTGAATCAAAAGCAGTAGTAATCGATTTCTTATATCTATTTTGGAAACCGAGAACATCAAAATTGTTTTCGGTAGTAAACAAAATATGTCGCCGACCTACCGTTTTATTCCCACACCTCCTTCTCATCATTCCCCATCCCTTCCCCCACATCATTCCCCATCCCTACCCCAACAAAAATTTACCAAGGCAGTCCTGGATATGCACGACTATTTTCTTTTTTTCCCACATTCCATTATCGGTTACCCGTAATGTTTCTATTATTTACGCTTTCTTCATCAGTTGCAAAAAGTAAACGAATGAAAAACCCATGGGTTACCGATGATGGCATCCAAAATGGAATTAGTTTCAAACAACTACTCCTATTGGTATGGTATCATTACAAATTCATTAAAAATTCTGTATAATGCATTAGACGTTTGGCTAAAAGCGGATTGAGACCTCTAAATCTACCACTTAAATAAAATACGTGTTAAAGACGTGTAAATAGTTTTAAAGGCAAGAAGTGCTGAGTGAAGCAGCGATCAATTTCTTACTTGAGTGTGTCTTTTGACTTTTCTTAAGAACAAATGTTTTTTGTTTTTGTGTGTTTGTTTATTTGGTTATTTATTTTATATGTCACGTGTAGAAAACCATAACATTTCTTCTATTTTATATATGTAGATGGTATACGAAAACTCGTGAATTTTCGTTAATTACGATTTAATAATCTTTGAAAAGGAAAATAGATAGCCGTAACGTCAAATAAAATAAGAAAACTATGAAAAAATAAACTTTTTTTCATTCTTTTTTTTTCCGAATGGAACTGTTTGAAATTACTCAAATGTGAATTACAGATTCCGAACATATAGCACAGATCTAATAAACCGTGATTAACTTCTGGACGTTTTTTCGTACCAATTGTAACTGGAAGCAATTAACCTCTGGAACAGCAAAAGCCGAGTTTGTGCTGCAGCCTGCGATACTTGTTTGGGACCCGTTAGGTTTATATCGATGTTTTTAAACAGCCTATCGATCTTGCGGAGAGAACCCGGTGTTGTCGTTACTCTGAAGTGTAGATCAGAGAACGAAGACCTCACCGGGGACCAAAAACAGACCCGATAATTATAAACTCTAGACACTGACCGAAGAGACGAGGGAATTCCGATCGAAACTGTGTCATAATTCAGGGACTTCTTCAATACTGAATTCTTAATAAGGGTCACACTGTAGATTAGATTGTTATCTCTTTATTCAGAATTCTCTCTTCGTTGTGTCTAATTTGTTTTTAATAGTCGAGGAAGATTTCACGCCATTTTTATGGCGAACAGGTGGTGTTTAATTTTCTTTTAAAGCCTCCTTTAAATAACGATTTTTATAGGAAAAAGGCTAGCATTAAAACTAAAGCAAAATCACCGATTAAACCTAACAACTGGAGGTACTAAGAGTACTCAAACAATTTAATGCATTAAATGGCGACATTTCTGAAAACATGGTTAAAATGTTCAAAATACATTTCGAAAGTGAGGTCGGAAAATCAAAGGGGGTCAACAAGGGATCCACAAGTATTGTAGCCGAGGGACGAAATTACAGAGATGTGAAGAAACTAATATCAAAGTCAACTTGATTATTATCATGAAAAAGAAATCTTTAGAACTTGCCAATACGGCATGTCTTGCAAAGGTGTCATTAAAGGCAAGTCATGGAATTCCCAAATCATGAATTGTATGGAAGCCCTAACTATCAGATGCCACGTAATTCATTTAACAGTTACAATAATTTGATTAATGTTTGCAGTTAAAATTGATCATTACTGAAATATCTGCTCTCTGTTCTCATATTACACATAGTTATTCCCTTAACTGAATATTGTATCAGGCAAGACTAATGACTTTCGCGATAAAAACTAACAATTCATATAAATAATATAACACCATATTGTCAGAAAACATTTTATCATTAACTTAGTTTTTCAAATAAAATCTATATATTAAATATATCTCCTTATTTTAGTTACAGTTGCATTTTATAACTTCCCGATGTTTGAATACATAGAATGAAACTGAATGAAGTGTCAAGGCATCGAGAAATCTACACCAATAGGAAATACACAGATATTGACATCCATACCAACAATAGAAATTGACATGCATTGAAAAGTATTTTCATGAATGAATAAAGAAGATTAGTGATAATAGATTTAACTTACTATGAAATTTGGTCTACAATACTCGACGTGCGGTAAAGAGTTTTCCTTTGCCGTTCAAACCAACTCTGTCGCCCAGAAGACTTGGTCTTTTTTAACCAACAGTAGTCCCACAGCAAAACTGAGTCACTAGGAAGAAAATGGAATCTGGCGTTATCAGCTGAAAATCTAACAAACAAATCACTGCATCCATCAAATAATTGATCCGTTAGAAAATAAAGTGATGTAACTCCATGATATGGTCTGTGTGTCCCATATCTACCATATCTGAATACGACCGAGTATAGTTCTCTTTTAATTAAAGAAGAATTTAGACGAGATGTATATCGGAAAACCAGTTTAAAAATATATATATAATGTTATTGATAAGCAAGTCTTTTTAACAAAGAAAGCAATGGTGAGTTAATCTCTTATCATCTGGACTTGAGAGGTCGGGTTTTAACTCTGGACTCCGTGTCGTCGTGGGGTTTACAGTAATGAGGGGTGTAGGTTAGGAATTATTGGTGGGCGTCCAAACGGAATCTGTACCGACGGGTGTTTATTTATCACTATAAAGTGCTTCATCGATCATTTTTGTGGATTTAATAAAATCTTAAGACTCTTTTTAATACAAAACAAATATTTTCTTTTAAAAACAGTGTTATATTGGTTTTACTAGTGTATGGTGTATTTCAGACAACATTTATATCAGGGGACTCAGATTAAACACGGTGTAAGGGAAGTTTAGGCTCACCAGAGTATTTGTAAAAAAAAAAAAAAAAAAAAAAAGGTGGGGCATTTAATATTTATAATTTTTAAATTGCAATTTTATTCATGAATGGTGATATCAGAAGTACTTGTGGACAGATATCCTCCCATGTACATTTTTAAACTCTTTTTTGATTAATTACATTCCTGTGGCATTTTTTTAGCATGCATTCCATGTGAAAAGTTTAGATAAAAGTTTAAACGGTCATTCTCTAATATATTTCCACGGACTGCATAAATTTATTTATGAATAGTGTATCTATTTTTTTTTATACAGTTATCGTTTATGGACTTTTTGCATGGAATATTTTGAAATTATGTGCTAGAAAAATAATCTGTAAAAAAAAGTCGGTAGATTCGAGGTCTGTGTGCATCGAAGAACAAAAAATGGGATGATGTCCTTTCCATAAGGGCCATTGAGCATGCGTAGTTAAGAGTACCAGTGAGGTGATTAAAATGGAAGTGTTTCTAGTTTAGCTTCGTTGCTATTAACTTAAAAATACTTTGTTTTTAGTTTAAATTGCATTCATATGCCATGGTTAGTGTTGTGAAAAATTAAAGTTTTCTGTAAATAACGATATTTTCTTCGATGCATTCCCTCGAGGGAAAGCCATATAAAACACACATGTCTGACAATGGAAATTTAACAAAATACAGAAATGTATATAAAAAAAAATTGTTATAATAAGTTTGTCCTTTTCCAGATGTTTTTAAGCTTTAAAATAGATGACGACCACGAATATATTACATAATGATATTCTCAGGAGAAAAAAAAGTCTTGGAAATTGTATTACAACTCATTTAAAATTACAATCATGGAACCTTTTCCAGTAAATTCTCTTTGGGTGATGTTTTCGTACCGAAATGCTAGAAAATGTAAAAATACGAACTTCGCAACACGAACATTTTAATGACATAATCTGATAGGAATTTCGTGCAAATCACGGAATTGTGGGATTAAATTGTCCTTCCATAACAGGTTTTGATTAAGATGAATGATAAAGCAAAATCCTACTGATTAAAAAGGTGGCGTATTTATGTTAGATTTGGAATCCATATTATCTGACTATGTATGTTTCTGCTTATGGGAATCCCTCATCACTATCGATGACGAAACATCAAAAAGATAAAGGTCTAAATTAAACAATGACTAATACCCTTTTCAACACAGAAGTAAAGTACATGATTCTCAATTAACACGACATCACGTGGAACACCGATATATGATTTTCTTTTGTTTTACATGACCATACCTTGATACATTTTACTATACTTTTTTTTATTTCCACAATTAAAAAATTGTAAAGCATTCTACTATAACTTAAAAATACCATCATTATCGGATATCCAATTTCACATTAACATTCAATTAACAGTGGAATAACTTTTGGCATGATAAATGTAATATGACAACTGTGTATTGAAACACCCGATCAGCTTAACAAGGACGACGCGCGCACAATGACGTGACCTATTAGTGAATATAAAGCAGACGAAATGAAATTCTATTTTCAACAATTCAAATAATAAGAAATTTTCATAATAAAACTATACACAGTCTAAATTATGAAATATTCATTGAAAATTTCTCATGTCGGATTGGCAAGTCAGAAATATATGTGACAGCGCTCGATGTTTATTTTTCACTTGAAAATGTTTAAATACTGATGTTTTAAGGTGAAACATACTCGTTGGAATGTTAGTTTCCGTTTATTTTCACATTCCATTACATTGTTACCAATTGTTTAAGTAATCTATTCTACTCTAATGCATTTATGCATCGAAGTTTATTACCGCAACTATATAATCTCTGAATAAACTTGCATCTCAATCTTATATAGCTTCAAAAAACAATAAAACTTCTAAGAAAGTCTTCTTTATTTTCCTTCCGCATGCTGTAGGTCCTCTTCTACAAAGTAATATGCATCCCTGCCTTGAACAGTGGCAATTCCGGTATATAAATTTCAATATCGATAGCTTATATCAACATTGAAGTACGTCGTCAGACACTGATATGCTTTTGAGGGCTACAATATGCGCTGTAGAGAGATGGATTCAGGCAGATATTTATCGCTGTCTGGTCTCTACCCACACACCGCGCCAATTTGCTCGGCTCCATATTAACATGCAAACAGTGTCCAACGAGGTGTTGAGGAATTTTCCCCTTCAGCTTTGCATGTCAAATGTTATCAAGAAACTTGGTTGTATCACTGCACTTTTCAACAGAATTGAGAAACAACGTGTGAAAACCTATATGAGATACTGAATGATAATTCACACTTTGCATTATTAATAAGCACTGAGTCAATTCAGTGTGCAGTATCTATGACATTGAGATGGCACCTTCAAATACATACAACGTACATGTATTCACCCCCAAACCTTTGTAACAATATACATTAAGTTTTTTTTTCATGAACATGCATCATACGATGCATTATCTCTGTGTTGATCGTCGGTCATTTGAAAGATAAAAATAAATTGCCTGGGAAAATCCGGTTAAATTATCGAGGTTATTTTAAATGAAAGAAAAAGAATAGAAATTATGGTAAATTATTCAGAAAAAATTAAGAAATTTTAGAATACGGCTTCTCTATATCGCCATCATAAGCTGCAGATCTGTAGCTCGCTGGTCGGAAAAAATTGAGATGGAAGACTAGATCTGGAGTGTCGCCCATTGAAATAAAACTGTATAATAAAAGTGCGCTGTTTCTCGATTTATTATTCCGTATATTTTGATCTGCCATCTCAAAATACTACTAACCGTGTGTTCCTAACATACTCTACATTTTACCATTTCCACCACAGGCGCTTGACGTTTTTAACCTTTCTTTTCATAAATAAAAAATCCCCCATACTATAATAATAACAAGGTTCGTCACGGTCGCCATCTTGAATTTTTCAGTTCAGCTACTTCGCCTCAATTTTTAGTCTACAATGTGTTTAAATTAACGGATACAACCGTTTCCCTCAAGTACTTACTTTAACTATGCCTCCACTTTCGGGAAATTCAACTCAAATCACATTAAATCCTCTCTAATTCTTAAAATGTCGCTTCAAACTCCGTCTACTGCTACCGATTCCGTAAAATTTAGAAAAGGGAGGCCGGAAGTTGATGTTAGAACGTCACAATCCGGGAAAGCCCTTTTCTAATTGGTGGATATCTTGAGAGTTATATTAATATTAAAAGGAGATGGGTGAACATGACTAGCGATAAGCCTATAGTGTGACAAACATGAAGATGAAAAATTAAATTTCTATTATATCAAAATTTTCCTTGATATTTCGTCTAACACTAAAATATACTTTATGTAAAATCTCTACAATTTGCAAAAATCCCTTACAGATTGAAATTATTTGCCTGTGAAATATTAGACACAAAATAAAGCGGGCAAAAAGAGTCATTTTCGCATACTATAACACTGTTTTTCGATAAGAGTGGGTCTTCGCTCCACCTTTTTGAAAGTTAATCCTCAAAGTTTGCATAAAAATATACATTTTATGTTTCCAAAAATATGGAGCAATGACCCACTATACCTTAAAAATATACTTTTATGACATAACATTCGCATCTTTTCGAGAAATACTCGAAGTCCATTAAGTCAAGGGTCATATCACAAACATGATTTAAATGCCACTGTTTGTCAGGATTGTGTAGTCTAGTGGTTAGCGTGCTAGTCTCGAAAGAAAATGATTTTCAGGATTTTTATTGCTAGGGTTCGAACCCCACGAATACCACATGATTTTTTTTAATAAAAGAATAAATTTTGCCGAGAAAATTTTCCTCAGAAAAGTTTTGTTTATCATTACATAAATTTCAATAATGAGAACTTTACTCTAAATATTAAATTCACAAACTGAACATGATTTTTATATTTCTGAAGCTATAGGCTTTCTGCACGCTATGTTCACCAATCTCCTTGCGGTAAAAGAGCTGTTTGATACTTGAAAAAAAAAAATGGAGCTTGAGCAGTTCTAGACTACTGGTACGTATTATATAAATAACTTAGTAATATATATTGATACATCTATAGTCCCCAACTGTTTGCAAATAAATATATATTTAGCCTAAAACTGTGTACTTTTTCAACTGCTATTTAAGAAACACTGAAATATTTAGGCTGTATACACTGTATTTTACATATAGAGGCGTAGTTACACACCTTAAAGTAAAGGGGGGGGGGGGCTTAAATCCAAATAAAAATTCAATGATATTGTCAAAACATAAAAGCGTTTACAATTTAATTCTGAAATTAAGGGGGGGGGGGGTTCTGGTAGATTTTGAAAATAAATTTGATTGTCCTTCACAGACATGGAAATGAAGCTGGGGAAAAATTGCCAGCCCAGCCCCCCCCCCCCAGCTCCGGAATCAATTGGTCCCCCCTTAACAATAAATGAATAGCAATATAATCTGTGAGGCCACCCATATAGGTCCCAGGCAAAGCCTTGATTGTGGTGGGGGGGAG